GTATGGACCTGGAGTGGTTTTGCTTCTAGTCTCCATCACGCATTGCCCTAACTGTTCATTTGTGTTCCTTACTCTTTATATTTTATTGCCTCCTCCATCTCAGAGTCTGTTTCCTCTCACTGTTCAGTAGAGATTTTTTTTGAAAACACACACGTATATATTACTTGTCATTTTCTAGTACCAGAAAGCCTGAGTGCTTAGCAAAAGCCCTTGTATATCAGTATAAAATCAACACCCCCACCTTATATAAGGTGTAACTTTCTAAAGTGGGCAGCTCATCCGTAGTTTAGAAACTGCAAAGGATGAGAATCGGCTCCTTCCCTTGGGATGCTGTTTCATGTGGTTAATCACCCTTATTGTTACATATTGGTGCCTGGGTTCTTCTTTTATTTTATTCCCCCCTTCTAAATACTGGCCTGATACTCATTTTATTTATTCCGTTAAATTTAAACCGCACCTTTCACTAAAAATATTTTTGGGTCCTTCTTTTTGAATAAAGAGTATATGCTGATTTCTTTAAAAAGTTTCCCTTTGTGAATCCTATATAGGTGTCTGCACAAATTCAAATGGGATTTACTCCCTGGTAAGGATGTATAGGATTGCAGCCTAAAATGTTTCAGTATTCCCTGCCTATAGATGGGTTAGGTCTCAGCCATGGGAACCCACTGGGTGACCTTAGACAAGTCACACTCTCTCAGCCTAGAGGATGGCAAAGACAAAAACCCCTCTGAATAAATCTTGCCAAGAAAACCCCCTGATAGGTTTGCCTTAGGGTCACCATAAGTCGAAAAGGACTTGAAAGCACACAACAACAAACAGCACAAAGGGTTGCGTTGCAAATTAGGTGGGCAGCTTGTAAGATAGGTGAGTTGCAAGTTAAGTGGACAGCTATTTTACATCCTGCATCATGTTGAAGTCTAGCATTTTCCCCTGGCATGTTTCATATTGTCTTTTAGGCCAGATTGTAATTTTTCTTCTAGTTGAACTTTTCCATCATTTTCTCAATCTCTTGCTGTCATTTTGAACCAGAAGAGATGTATAATTGACTTTATATTCTGAGAGAGAGAAAGAGAGATAAAGAAATGGATATTTCACTTTTGTTGTTGTTGTTAGCTGCCCTCGAGTCAGTTCTGACTCATGGAGACCCTGTGGATCAGACATCTCTAGCAATCCCTATCTTCCACTGCCTTGCCCAGATCCTTCAAGCCCTTCCCCA